TAACAACATGTACGACGAGCTAGGCAACAAAGCATAGCGCAGGGCCCTGAGCTTCCAAGCTCTCTCGTTTGGTGTTTGTGTGTTTGTTTGTGTCACGCCTGGCGCTATCCGTATCTGACGGCAAAAAAGCGTAGGATGTTATAAATGTTTCAATTCTCCTACATGTATTTTTTTCAGGCATATCCTGGGATTCGAACCCGCACTATCGCCCTACATGCATTCCCCCATACACTTCGCATTCATACCCATTCTTCCAAGTTGCTTCACGTTATTATCTTGCGTTTGAAAGCCCTATTTGAACATTGCGGGCAGCTGTATGTGGCCAGCTGGGTTTGAGCGGCATAACGAGTTTCATAGTGGATAATATCGGGAAATCCCAGGCTTTTGGCAACACTCGGCTACAATCATGATCATGAGATGTTGTCTGATGATTGGTTTTTGCCATGAAACTCTGAGTAACAACGAAACAGCCCTATCTTTTGTGTACCTCTTGCGTACTACGCTCCGCCCATTCCGGGCATTTGAGCACTATGCATTGTACGGGCGCATGACTTTGTGATTGTGTAACACCTTTAGCACTAACGCTACATAACTATTGCTACATCAAAACGTTATGATTGTAGCGATGTGGTCAGGTAAATGTACTAGCCATTTGTGAAGCATGCCCAACCGAGGCTGAGGCAGTTCAATTGACACAAATCCGGAGAAATTATTTACGAGGTTTCTTTTACTTTTAGAATAATGGAGACATATACGCGAAGTGAACTAGTATCAAACAGACGAAGAAGAGTTTTCTAGTTGTGCCAGAGGCTCTGGCGATAGCATCTCTAGCGATACTGAAGTAGACACCGATGCCTTGTTAAATTTGGACCAGGATGAAGGAGCGCCGGGCTATAAACAGAAAGAGCTCGTTCCAAAAGAACTGCCTTTGCCGAGTCCAGCTCAGGAGGCTCGAAAAGAACTACTTCAAAAAAGAAGTAGAATTTCTCATGGACTCAGTACCAAGTCGATTGCTCAGTAGCGCCTGTCTTACTTTCCTGATGAAGCATGTACGTTAGTTGTGGACGGTTGTAATGCCAGGCCTACAGTCAAATGCTATCAGAACGGAAGAATATTGTGGCAAGTCATATGTCTACACCATCTCAAGGAGAAGATGAGAGCACAAGCAAAGGATGTAGAGTGGCAAAATAACTTCTGACCACCGCAAATGGGAGGGTTCTCCATCTGAGATCGGATCTCAGGAGCTGGCCTCACGTCTGGTGTTTCAGATGAAGACATTATTCACAGAGTGGATGCAGTGACAGCTTGTCTGCAGGCAGGAATACTATTTTCCAAGATTAACTTCATCCCAACAATGAATGACTACCTGCAATAATGGTTTCATCTCTCACTACATGGATAATTAGGAGAGGGATTTGATACACCGACTATTCTGCCACAACCCTGCATCAAAGTTGGAATGGAGAGCAATCTATGGAGAAGCGATCATGTCTTATAGTGCTAAGAAGTAATGGTAGCCAGTGCAGGCTGTCGTAATAAAACGACTCATCCGTGTTCCATTCCCGTGCATGGTACATGCATGGTGCGACGGCACAATGACAGCTGTCGCAAATCACACTGAGTATTACACGTGTTTTTTGGGGATTCCTGGTTAGCTGCTAGCTTTTCCCTACTTGAAGATGTTGCCGCCGCGAAATCTGGGGGTTTGTGTTCGTCCTGGCGAAAACCGTGTTTTGATCCGTTGAGGGAGACGAGAGATACAGTGCGAAGACGTTCGATCTGTCCGAGAATCGGCGAAGAAGAAAGCTTCGCAGACGACCCGTAGTGGTTGGGAACAGAATGGAACATATACCAGTCGATGCCTGTCATGGTAGGGATGACTGCTACGAAGTTTCAGCCCCATGCTCCCCAGCGCTTTTTAGCGCCCGACGATAATTACCAAATTTCATCGATTTTCCATGTGGATCAAAGCATAGTCTCCTCAATCTTCTCCAGTCGAGCTGAGCCTGGACGCTACAATGTCGAGACGCGAAAAGAGAACATGCATGAACACACAGGAGCATCACATGCAGCTGCATTCTGCCTTGACGAAGAGAACAACACCAGCACCACGCATTTGGAAGACATTTCGAAGAAGACGAAGAAACTGCATATCTGCGTTCAAAAAAAGCCTCTGTACTGTGCAGTATGCATGCGTGCATGCGCGAAGCACGGGGTCCGCGGATCAACTTCGTTCAAAAATCATTGTGCCACACGGGTTGTATCATTTGTGTGCGATCATGGCCTTTCTTCTTGACAAACAAAACTGAAGTTTTTCGATCTTCAAATCGCCATAGCGTCCTTGTAATGACTCCAAATCAGCTGAAACTTTGCAGGAGGAATGAAAATGCCATGCTGAATCGATTGGTACCATTTTCGAAGGGTTTCCTTGAAAAATAAAATTTAGCCTGCACTGGCTAGTAATGGAGCTCGTCAGAGATAAGGTGGCAACTTCAGATGCAGATCGACGATATCATCGCGGCATAGTTTCCTGGAAGTTTGACAATGTGCAGACTTTCTTCCATTTTTGTCCCAAACCAAGAGCACTATATCCCTTGCTGAAGCATTATAATCAGCATTATAAGGCAGTTTTTGGAGCATTATGGTTAGCATCATACGAACATTTTCGGAGGATTATCCGCTGGACCCTATCCAGCACAGTGTGGAAACTCTCGCAGAAACTTCCTGTCCCGGAAGTCTATCTTCGGCCAGCAGCTACATGTATATCTACATGACACTCTTTGAAGATCCAGGTAACCATGGTAACAACGCCGAACCAACGAAACAAATGTGAGCCAGCATGGAACGGTGGAGGTGCGCACACGCACACATTCCAGACCTTACCCGGTTACCATCCACATTGTTACAAAAAACATTCTTCATCGAATAGAAGCAAGAGTCCATGTCTTTGTCGAAGACTGAGTAACGCTGGACTTTCACTGGACATTGACCAGTGTGTAAGACCAGCTAACTAGCAGCCAACGCTGATGGCTGACTCGCCGCGATTGGGAGGAAGCTGGGCTTTCTCCAGATGAGCTTTTGGCGGAGTCCTCTGATGATAGTGACGTCGTCGAGTTGGAAACTGCAGATCCTGCCGCGATAGCGAGGAAGCGGTCTTTTCAGAAAACAGCTATCACCAACTCTGAAAATGTTTCGAAAAGGACGCGAGTAGCTCATGGACAGAGCACTGAAGTGGCCATCAGTACCGAAACACGGGTGCGGGAGTTCCCAGATGAGCCGCTCAAATGCAACTGTGGCAAGTTAGTGTGCCGGGCATGCCATACAACATTGTCAGGGAAGAAGAGTATAATCATGTCCCATATTGCTGCCGCGAGACACAAACAAGGAAAGTCCCGTTTGGAGAGGGAAACTCAGAGGCAGAAGCTGGTCAAGGAGTCCTTCCTGGCGTATCAGAAACGACATGGGAAGGCTCTAGCTGGCACCGGTCTTACTAAGGCCGTTAGTTCAGCCGAGTCTCTGCGGCGGATCCAGATTGTGCGTTCTATGCTGCATAGCATGGGTGCAATAATATTATTATAGCGTTTTCCTTAGCCCAATACCGCAAGGTTCAGGTGTTTATATTCCATCCGGCGGAGCATTATCAGCATTATTTGGAGCATTATATGGCCTTTTGTGGAGCATTACTGAGAGCATTATATCCCATAATAGGGAGGTTTCGCTCTACGTAATTACGTATGAAAATCCGTATGTCCGACGCGCCGGGGAGCGAGGGCAACTTTCATACGTAAATCTCTCTACGGATTTCCGTAGGAAAGCTCTTTCCTACGTTGGGTCCTCCGTAGGACTTTTTGAAATATTTTTTCGCATTTTCCGCATTTGTCCATGGCAACATTCAAGCCGCGCGAAACACAAGGTACACACAACACACACCGTACACCACGTGCATAATATCATAGAAAACGCGGTTTCGGTTTATGGTGCATACGGTGGGCGCATGCAGCCAACGCGTCTCCAAAGCAACAACGCATGGTTAGCAGTCGTGGAGAAATCACGTAGAGCGAAACCCAACAGCTCTGATTTTTACGTATGAAAATTCCGTGCAGTTCATACGTTATTTTCATACGTAATTCCGTAGAGCGAAACCTCCCTATTACCGAGCATTATCCGCCAACACCTATTCACAGCCAATTTTGTAGCTCATTTTCTTCTGGTTGAGGTTGAGGTTGCGCTTGTACTTGTGTTTGTTTTGCCCACATACTCTTGATAATACTTCTACAGTTGCTGACTACACACTACTGTACATGCACTGTACAGTCCATTTCAAAACGCGTACCTATTCAAGGCAAAAACCGTTATGCCAGCATCTACAGGGGCGTAGGAGGGGTTTGGGAAGTGGTACGGCCGAAGGTCGTTGCGGCCGAAGGCCGTGTTGGAGGGGGGTCCGGGGGACCTCCCCGGGAAAATTTTGTAAAAAAGACACAAAATCCTGCGTTCTGGGAACTTCTGGCACACTTCTACGTGTACGTAACGTCGTTCGTAGTGTGCAGTCGAGTCGAGTACAGTACTCAGTAGGGTCTACGACTACAGATGCATAACAGATCTACGAGTCTAGAAAAAGGTCAAAGTCTGATGCGCATATAATTATGCATGCCATCGATGGATCCTGATTTTTTATCACGGTTTTGCACGTTTCGGACGGACCACACTTTTCGAAAAGTGCAGTGGTAGTGTGAGAGTAATCATGGTAATTGTGGAGCGGATCTGAGCAGTATTCCGAAAACCACATGACTGTATTCTCAAAAAGTTCCCGCCAAATTTGAAATATTTCAAAAACACTGCCCGTCTATGGACTGTATACATGTAGCTGCTGATCTCTACTCTAGCTCTGTACGCGTAGATCTACTGCCTTTGAGTGAGGCTTTGTCAAGTCTCGTTAGCCAAACTCACGAGTCTGACTTCGTTGTACACTGCAACATGACACACCAACTGTCCTGTCACGCTTGAGCGAGGGTAGCTGTGAGTAGACTGAGTCTGTGCTGTGGCAATGGCAATGGCGATGACAGGCCACTGCATGCATGCATGCTAGAGATGAAAACTATTTTTTGTGTTCAGCCTTTCAGCTTTGAGATCGTGATCGTAGAACCAACTAGCTCTGGCTCTCAGTCACCCATCCGCAAGTATACTAGTAGCTACCTGGTAGAGTCTACATGGCGTGTGGTCGAAATTTCACTGTGCCGTCACTGATAGCTGGTGCCGAGCGCTGTTAGTTTACAAAACGAGTGGTTCTAACCTGGACAATGGGGAACTGCTTTGGAGGGCGCGGCTCAGACGAAGCGGATGGCAATGCCTACTCGTCGAGCAGAGGAACAATTCAACAAGTTCTGATGTTTCCTGACAAAGCGATGCCATGTCGGTGAGTTCGAAATATTATTTCCACCGATTTTCAACATAAGAAATGTTTCAAAAATTTACGCTCTGAAAAGCCAGGCCATTTGTAAAGCAGGCAGCGAAAATGATGCATAGCGTAGAACCAAAAGTAGATAAACAAGAGTGTGCAACTCCGGATCTTTCCTGCATAGACTAGTCTGCAGTACCCCCGCCCACGGCGGAATTTTTTGTTGACGTCACCTTTTTTCAGAAGAACGCGCATTTTACCGCAGAGCAGTGTGAAAGCACGTGCTGGGCCCCGGCCTTGTATTGTAAAGCCGGCCAAGAGCACGAGGGAAAACTTTCCGAAAGACTCGCAGCGCGTGCGTCGTCGAAAAGATTACATCAACAAAAAATTCCGCCGTGGGCCTACCCATCCGCGAGTTGCACACTCTTGTTTATCTACTCTTGGTAGAACTAAGCACGGAAAGAAAAGCCAATGTCAGATCTAGAGACAAGAATACATTACACCAGTGCATCACGCCTGCATATCGATGCACTGGAAACCCGCGTGTGCGCGCTTGCTACACTGAGCATTCGCTGCGGTCGTGTGTGGCCGTGGACGGCCAATGACCATGTAATCAATAGAGTTCTGTATTTCACTCCTGCTCCAGCACTAGCTGAGTGTACTCTCATAGGGTAGTACTGTCTTTGCTGTCTGCGTTACGCAGTGCTCAGTGTCACTGGCTTGTCTGTTCCAGTGCTGCTGTAAATCAATTCTATTTCGTGGCCGTTTTTAATTTCGTAAATTTCGTAAGGCTCCCGCCACTTATGAAATGAAGAACACGCTTACTAAACTTTACCACACTCCCTGTACAACACTGTATACGTGGCCGCGATCGATGGAACTCACATGTACATAAGTTAGATGACTGCAAAGTCTCTCAGTTTACGAATATTATTCGCTTACTGTAAGACAATGAAATTGAAGACACCACTGCAGCTGTACTTATGGTTGATAAATATGGTGGTAAAGACACACCTGGCAATATGGCGGTAAACGCACGCCTGCCCACACACGCTCTCTAGGCTGCAAAGTTCTGGCACAGAGCTCTCCTTCTCACCACCACCACCATCAGTTTGCGCCTGGCGCCTGGTCGATGCATGGCTGGCGGTATCCGGCATAGCAGGCTGCAGCCTAGAGAGCGTGTGTGGGCAGGCGTGTGTTTACCGCCATATTGCCAGGTGTGTCTTTACCACCATATTTATCAACTACTGTAAGACATGTTATTATAACGAGTCGCGAATTTATCGACTGTACCAAGTTCATAGGTTAACGAGAAGATACGTTAACGATCTTGCAGTCTTCAGGCATATCCGCACATAACACATACAGAGGGCATTACAGCCTCAACAGAACTTGTTTGAACGAAGAAATGTCACTCGTTAAAACGTTAGATTTACTTCCTCGTCAGATTTACATGGCCTACAGCAGTCTGAGTTTACGAATATCATTCGCTTACGAAAATATGACTCGCATGGAGAGCCAAGGATGAATTCATAGCAAAGAAAAGGAACGTGCTAGAGCTGTAAAGCCAGTTAGTTGTAGAACGTCGGTACCGTCCGTTGGTGTCGTGCAATGTTATCGCATGAGCTGATTGCCAAGTGACTGGTGGTGTTAGTGGACATTATAGCATAACTTGTAGTTCCTTGTTCCTTTTCTTTACGAAAATATGATTGATTTACAGTCCTCTGGCAAGGTAAATCGGTCGCGGTTTAAATTTGGCTTGCGTGGGTGGGTCGAGGAGAGTTTCGTTTTGAAAAATATTGATAGCTGAAACATCGATCCATTCTAGCCGCAAGGTCAATACTGTAAGACATGTATATATAACGAGGAAGCAAATCTAACGTTTTAACGGATCACATTTCTTCGTTATAATAGATCCATTGAGGCCGTACTGCTTCATATATGCTGTGTGTGTATATGGCAGAATACTGCAAGATTGTCAACATATCTTCTCGTTAACCTATGAATTTTGGACAATCGTTAAATTTGCGACTCGTTATAATATGTCATGTCTTACAGTATATCTTTCGTTCAGGAAGGTGGGTGGGTGGGTGGGTGGGTGGGTGGGTGGGGGAGGGTTGTAACTAAACTTTTTTCGTTCTGTGAAAATTATCGATAATGCCGGATAGTCCGTTATGGTATTCATAACTCTCTTTTTTTCCCTGAACTTTGCAGCTCCCTTGTAGCGTTGTCATCTTTCCACTGCACCTCGAATTCGGCCTGATGATGCCCTCCCTTCTGGGTGACCAATACCAAACAATCGCTGTGTGTGGTGTAGCCGGCGATGACTGTTTGAGCACCTGAAATAGCGCGTCCAGAATGCGCACTGCATTCCGCGCCAACTGCAGTCTTTCGGTGATAGCTGCTGGGATCCTAGTGGCCACTTTTCTACTTGCGAGTTGTAGCAGTATCTGGTGCAGTGGACAAGGTGGTGCCTGTAGTTGGTGACCAAGATAAGACTGCCCTGTAGGTGCAAAGGGATTTGGGCTAGCCCTTCTCCCCTATCGCTGACAAAGTCAGACTTCACACGGGTCTGTGTGGTCTTTCGCTCCTGTCCCTGTTTTTTACTTGGCTCTGTGCTGTGCGATAAGGTGCTGTGTGTGTGTGTGTGTGTGTGTGTGTGTGTGTGTGTGTGTGTGTGTGCATGTGTGGGGTTTTCACCCCTGTCACTGACAGCAAAGTCGGATATCACTTGGCTCTGGGTTGGGTTTTCACCCCTATGACCAAGAGTACATAACCCCCCAGAGTGTGCAACTCCACTATGGGTGCTGTCCCGACAGAATTTCAAGTTGACGTCATTTTGATGATGCAATGCGCACTGTACACGGATTATCAGACGAATCCGGAACCTGTGGTTGACCGAAGCCGATCGATCCTGTATAAATTATTGCAAAGTAAAACGTGTGATGCGTTGACACCCGTAAACATGTTGTAGATCACTGGTGCAAGGAGCATTGCGTCATAAATAATGACGTCAACTTGAAATTCTGTCGGGACAGCAGGGTATGTGGGAGTTGCACACTCTGGGGGATTATGTACTCTTGCTATGACTGACAGGGCAGATTCCTTCAGTAGCGGTGTTATGACATGATGTGCAGGTGCCCTCTCATCCAGAATATATGTGATATGGGACACCGGCTGTGCCCTTGTTCAGAACTTAGCACTTGTCACACCACCTACGTAGTAGTTGGCTTACCGATCTGCAACCCTATCAGTTGCCTTCAGTCTTAGGCTTGTAGTAGAGGTTGGAATTGCACGAGAGAAACATGAAACAAGCAGTTGCTTCATGAGCACGTTGCTTGTCTGCCAATGCTGCTTGCTGGTTGGCTTGTCAGTTAGCTGTCAGCTCACTGCCCGGTCCAGGACGTTTCGTTTTAGTTTATACTCTCTTTCTGTCTCTGTCTCTCTCTGTGTCCATCCCTCTGTCTCTGTCTCTCTCTTTCTGGCTCTCTCTCTCTCTCTGTCTGGCTCTTTCTCTCTCTCTCTCTCTCTCTCTCTCTCTGGCTCTCTCTCTCTCTCTCTCTCTCTCTCTCTCTCTCTCTCTCTCTCTCTCTCTCTCTCTCTCTCTCTCTCTCTCTCTCTCTCTCTCTCTGTCTCTCTCTCTGTCTCTCTCTCTGTCTCTCTCTCTGTCTCTCTCTCTGTCTCTCTCTCTCTCTCTCTCTCTCTCTCTCTCTCTCTCTCTCTCTCTCTCTCTCTCTCTCTCTCTCTCTCTCTCTCTCTCTCTCTCTCTCTCTCTCTCTGTCTCTGTCTCTGTCTCTGTCTCTGTCTCTCTCTCTCTCTCTCTCTCTCTCTGTCTCTCTCTCTCTCTCTGTCTCTGTCTCTCTCTGTCTCTCTCTGTCTCTCTCTGTCTTCTCTGTCTCTCTCTCTCTCTCTCTCTCTCTCTCTCTCTCTCTCTCTCTCTCTCTCTCTCTCTCTCTCTCTCTCTCTCTCTCTCTGTCTCTCTCTCTCTCTCTCTCTCTCTCTCTCTCTCTCTCTTCTCTCTCTCTCTCTCTCTCTCTCTCTCTCTCTCTCTCTCTCTCTCTCTCTCCCTCTCACTCACTCTTCTGCGTGTGTGTGTGTTGCTTGCAGGTATGGACGCTCTTGTCGACGTGGTAATAGTTGCCTCCTATTCCATGAGAACACGTCCTTGAAGCAGTTCCTTGCGCGTTTGTCCAGCGCCAAACGGTGAGCATGCAGACATCACCACTAGCCACCTCAGTAGGCAGTCCATTCTACCTGCTCTACACAAAACCATCATTATTCCCAAATTTGCCGACAATTATAGTAAACCGTCGTCCATGTCCCTGTTGGAACCCATACAGGTTTGACCCTTTGTTACAAACTGGTTTCGTTTTATTACAAACTACAGTGCTGCTCTATGAAATCCAGTCGCGCTAACGCCTTGCATCATTCCGCAGTCCAGTGCTGGTAGGCCTATGGCTGCGCAACGCGCGGCGCGTGATTGAAGTGACTGGATTTCATTGAGCAGCAAATTCAAACCGTATATCTTGCATGAGGTGCATGTAAGCCAGGTGCTCTCATCCAGTCACAGGCCACATGCCAAGCACCAATGTGTTGCTCTTTTTGTATTTTGTGAGTGCATTTCTGGTATAAGAACGAATTCTCCTGCACAATGTTGTTCATTATGCCAGGAGTAGATTGTTTATATCCTCTCTCTCTCTCTCTCTCTCTCTCTCTCTCTCTCTCTCTCTCTCTCTCTCTCTCTCTCTCTCTCTCTCTCTCTCTCTCTCTCTCTCTCTCTCTCTCCCTCTCTCTCTCCCTCTCCCTCTCCCTCTCCCTCTCCCTCTCCCTCTCTCTCTTTCTCTCTCTCTCTCTCTCTCTCTCTCTCTCTCTCTCTCTCTCTCTCTCTCTCTCTCTCTCTCTCTCTCTCTCTCTCTCTCTTCTCTCTCTCTCTCTCTGTGTGTGTGTGTGTGTCTCTCTCTCTCTCTCTCTCTCTCTCTCTCTCTCTCTCTCTCTCTCTCTCTCTCTCTCTCTCTCTCTCTCTCTCTCTCTCTCTCTATCTCTCTCTCTCTCTCTCTCTCTCTCTCTCTCTCTCTCTCTCTCTCTCTCTCTCTATCTCTCTCTCTCTGTGTCTCCGTAGGTCAATAGACGTGTGTGTATTTACAATCACTTGCAACGAGATAGCCGACACCTTCTTTAGCAGCACAGGAAAAATGTAGCCGTACGCATCATCTCAGATGGCGAGCAATTGCACTCGCAAGGCAGCGATGTCCAGCGAATGGCTCGTGCTGGTATTCCTGTAAGTCATGCATGCTCTGTGTCCAGTGCTTCTGGTGTTCTGCCAGGTCCATTGTGTTGCATGATCATGTGTGTGTGTGTGTGTGTGTGTGTTTGTGTGTATGTTTGTGTGTGTATGTGTTGTGGCGGTCAATTCATCAGCCTTGCAAGCTGTTGGATGTGTAATCCCAGCACAAGTTGCTATGTTTAACATAGCTGTTCGCTATCATTGCTTCCGCTATGGGCATGTATGAGCATGTGTGTGTGTGTGTGTGTGTGTGTGTGTGTGTGTGTGTGTGTGTGTGTGCGCGCCGCTTCTACATGCGTCAAATTGCAATAAGAGAGAAGGACAAAATGGCACGAGTTATGACTAACTGTCCACCAACGTAACCAGATCATAATACTTAATAGAGTCGGCGGGTGTGACAAGAAGGCACAAAACTAACAAGGAGTACTGAGACCGTTAAACGACTTGACACCTAGCTCTTAACACTTCTACAAGGCGCAAACCACTAACCTTCCAACTTGGAAGGCTCAAGTTAGGTAGGTGCAATAGTCATATAACTCCTACCATTTTTTGCTTCTCCTTTTTATCCATGATTACATTGGCTCACCATCCGAGTTGAACTTTGCAATAAGACAGATTAATAGTTCAATCAACCACTGGGTCGAGACGTGTTACGTCCTCAGGATAGTGATGTAACGAACAGCTGATTCCACAATCAATAACTCCTTGACTATTCGACTGCTTCTCGTGCACTCAGATGCAAAGGTGCGCTTTGAAAACCTATGTGTGCCTTGGGAAGCTGTTCCTAGCATTTTTAAATGCTAGGAACAGCCTTAAAAGAGATTATAGCTCCCCTCTGTTGCTGCCATAGTTTGGGTCGACTCTCAAAACCCGCTCTAACGCGTCTTCTCCGTCGCCATTGTGGCCATACATGGCACTTTCGGGGCCATCTGACTCTGATTTGAGTACAGCTTTGCACACGTGTGCACCCGCTAACAGACGGATCTCTCTCTCTCTCCCTCCCTCTCTCTCTCTCTCTCTCTCTCTCTCTCTCTCTCTCTCTCTCTCTCTCTGCGCAGGTTCGGCTAGGCCGTGAGGAGAACAGTCTGATGCACCACAAGTTTGCCGTTTTGGATCGCAACATCATCGTAACAGGCTCGTTCAATTGGACACGACATGCCGTACTGCATAACCGCGAGAACATTTTCATCAGCGACCTGGGGCAGATGCGGCAGCCCTACATCGGCGAGTTTGACAAGCTCTGGCGCGAGTATTCCGGCAACGTTCTCCGCTGACGGATCACTCCCTGCCTGTTTGTTTTGTTGGCAGCTGGCAGGGACTGGCAGCAAGTGTTGCCCAAAATGCACAGAGACATCCCCAGCACTATCGTCCGGGTGTGTGTACGTACACGAGTATATTTGTGTGCGATGAGCCTACCCGGTTGACACAGGAATTTCCGCGGTGTCCTCGGGGGGCCCCTCTTGGGTCTGACCCGTGTTGTCAACTGCCCATCGCTCGTTGCGTGCCAGTGCAGGCTGGTGTTTGCATTGCCATTCCGAACTCTGGACAAGCTTGTAGCGAGGAGAGGACACAGTGATGTCTGCTGTGTCTCCACCGCTTGCTATGGAGCCACTGCTGTAGGTGAGCATCCCGGAGAAGTGTGCGACAGGCCTGTGTCTGCCTGCGTCTGCCTGCGTCATGCCATTTCCGTCTGTGTGTGTGTGTGTGTGTGTGCGTGTCTCTCTCCTCTCTTTTCTCTAATCGAATCCCGGTCATAGTTCCTGTTATTCCCATGGACCTCACTAGATAAGACCCAACTCTACTACGTCAACTGGCCACAACATAACCGGACCGGAAACCAGGGTGGACGGACGATGAAGAGTTTCTCCCACGACTTTCTACCGCTTGGATATTATCTTGCCTAGTTCCCCCCCCCCCCCCCAACAACCCCCATTTTTATCAATGGGTTTTTAAAACTTGTTTCACAGCCCCCTCACCTAGCTCTCCCCTAGCACGCACAGATTTTAAGCAATTTTTATCGTAATTTTAGGACTTTGTGACCAAAATTTCCTGAATTCTATTTCTAGCTCCTTAACCTTGTAGGATTATAACTCGTTTTGCACGCGTATTTTTTAGGATTTTAGAGCTTCGATTTCCAGTTCATGATAATGATGATCCTGCTCAGCTGGCATGAACTGATCAAGTGTTACAAACTTAAAATTGTACAAGTACTACTATGTGCAAGATAAATATTCTGATGAATGGAAAAAATTTCATTTGATAAAAAATCTCACTATGTAAATCTAGGTAAAGGGGTAGGGAATTTGCAACAGAATTTGGAGATACTGTAATCAAATCTGGGTCTTTTCACACAAATCCCCCAGAATTTGGAAAGCAAATGACTTGCGTAAATCTACCAGCTGAAAAAAATACAGTGGAACCTGTTGTGAAGGACACCTGGAAAGTGAGGAAGGGTGCCTCTCGATCTGCACAGATCCTCAGAATAGGAATTGAATTGAAGGCAGCCTGGATAAGTTGTTGGCCGCTGGGTCGTCAAATGACTTGCGTAAATCTACCAGCTGAAAAAATTCCGTGGAACCTGTTATGAAGGACACCTGGAAAGTGAGAAAGGGTGCCTCTCGGCTCTCCTAATCTGCATCCTCAGAATAAGTACAAATTCGAATAGAAGGCAGCCTGGATAAGTTGTTGGCCGCTGGGTCGTCTATCGTCTACATTTCTCAGGTCCACAAATAGTAAGAACGAAAAGATACTCTTTTTCTGTATAAAAGAAGGTCAGTAAAAAGCGAACAATTTTTGTCAGTAAATGTGGGAGGCGTATCCGATGAAAGGGATTGTGGTTGTCAAGTCCCAGATGTCAGCCTGTTTTCTCCAGGCTTCTAGAGGCTGCTGCGTCATGCCAGGGTTCATTCCTGAGCCAGAAAACACAAATGCGCGGTTGCGCGCACACACATGCACACACGTGAACAAAAGACGTAAACACAAATTTGAGGAGAGAGAAAAGGGTTTAAAAAATCACCAATAACAGTACCCAGGGGGAAATCATGCAAGAAAATATTTTAAGAAATTTCAGGCATAAATTGCGCAAGATCTCGGCACAATTTGCAGCAACATGCGGATTTACTTTGCGAATCACGGCATACTAAAGCGATGTGCAGAAATCCAGCAGAATTTCTACTGATAACTTTGCCACCGGGACAGGATACCGAGCTTGGCAATTATCTCTACCACCGCGGGCAGAACCTGCAATCAACTGAGTCAATTTGAAAGTTGATTGGTGATCTTACGAGTTACAGTTCCGTCAAGAAGTATCTCTTCATCACAGTTCCACACCATTTTTAAGCCAAGATATGGGTGCGATTTAAAAATACAATGCATCGGAATTAGGGGTGAAACGAGGATCGAATACTCGAGCACTTGCTCGAAAATTTGAAACGAGCGAGTACTCGTTTCGCAAAATACTCGAAGTATCCTATGTACAGTGTATTGTATGCATGTACATCAAGCATTTCTGTTACTCTGACTGGTACTGATAGTCAATGGAAGCGCGAAATTATTGCTTGTCCCTACTTACGGGCAAAATACAGTAGTTCAGTCTATTTCCTGCACTAGGCTGCATGCAAGACTACATGTGTATCGGGTGTACTACGTTCGGTGGTGCGAGAGTGTGTGCAGTGCATTGTATTATGTTGTCAGTAACATACTCGTAGTCGCTCGAATACTCGCTCGTTTTTTCAAAGAGTACTCGAGTCCCCAATTTTGGCACTCGTTTCACCCCTAATCGAAATGCATGAAGTTCATGTACTCTTCGAAATCAGATTCAGGGCAAATTTAGCAGCGGCCTGCACCAATGCATAGGTAAGTATTTGCTATTTGCCTGGTCTGGCGCTGTACAGTACGGGACCAGGGCAGTACAGTGTGTACCTTTATACACAGAAACACAGTGTCCTGATTGGGTGCAGCAGGCAACGTTTCCCTGGTCTGGCGCTACACAGAATCAGACATACAGTGTCCTGATTGGGTGCAGCAGGCAACGTTTCCCTGGTCTGGCGCTACACAGAAGCAGACACTACCTCCCCTGGTTGCATGGCATGCAGCAGGCAGCAGAGCTGCAGAGCTGCAAGCAGGTGACACGTTCCACGACTTACCCCTAGCTGTCGATTCCTGGTCTCGATGGGCAAGAGCAAGCAGATGAAAGCAGCCGTCAGAGTCACTGCGGTGTGTACAGCTTTGCTGCCAACTACGGACTTCCTCAGCAGAACCTTTCCAAACAAAGCACACCAGAACAAATTCGCACTCAAGATATGAGAGTTCTAGCCAGGAAAAAATGTAGTGTGTGTGTGTGTGTGTGTGTGTGTGTGTGTGTGCGTGTGTGTGTGTGCTGCGTGTGTGTGTGTGTGCGGGGGGGGGGGGGGGGGGGTAGGGGAAACAAACATTCACCCATCTTTCCATGCCTTGTCACAAAACAATGCAATGTAAGGGTGCACAGCACACTTTGAACGATCGATTTGTGACCGCATACTCTAATTTCAGGAATTTTCGGTGCTCAATATTCTCGGTATGACGGCAAAAGGCCAGGTTAGGTGAACAGAAATTTTAGGTACAGAGAAGCAGTTCCCTATTGGATTATGTGTGTTAGGGTTTTTTTTTTAAATTCTTTATTCTCACGATGGCACCATTGCCAATAAGAGATAAATTTATGAGAAGGTGAGATGCTGACCTGTGAGAGGAAGGGCACACCAGCACTACCTAGCCGGTAGAGAGCCCGTGACGCACCCACAGCCATGCCTCGCACTGACGTCGGATACACCTGTAGCAGCAGATAAGCACAGTGGCGAAGCAATGTCGTAACAGACGGATGCCCGCAGACGCACACACACACACACACACACACACACACACACACACACACACACACACACACACACACACACACACACATACTTCGAAGTACGTACGTGCATTTTTCACTTTCAGAACATAAGTTACACAGACATGTGTTTTAATAGTACATGCGTGTGTGTGTGTGTGCGTGAGTGTGCGTGCGTGTGTGTGCGTGCGTGAGTGCCTGCGTGCGTGAATGCCTGCGTGCGTGCGTGAGTGTGCGTGCGTGAGTGTGTGCGTGTGTGTGGTTGTGCAACAGGCACAGAGTGTTGTTCAACCAGGGTGAACTTGGATAAGGGCAAGAGAAATGATTTGTGCAAACATACAACGGGCTGATCAAAATGCAGAAACAAGGTTGAAAAAATACACACGCACACACACGTGCACACACACACACACACACACACACACACACACACACACACACACACACACACACACAGAATGGGCCAGTGAAGACACACCAATAGACAGACACAACGATAGAGATGGACGCATGCTTGTGCACTGCATGTCAGTACGTCAGTTGAAACAAACGGACAACAGGAGTTACCTCTGGTGTGTAAATGATCATCAAACTAAAGGCTGTTGTCACAGACATTCTAGCACCCGCCAGGAATGCTGTCATCCATGCCCTGGATGGAATGCAGTGACACATATACACACGGACGCACACACATGCACGTGAAAACACACACACACACACACACACACACACACACACACACACACATGCGTACACATGCATGCAGCAGGCACACACCCAGATGCACGCATGAACGCGTACATACCATGTACATACACACAGACGTGCGCACACACACACACACACACAAACACTGTCTGTCTGTCTCTATAGGCCGTCGAAGTCTGACGTCACAGCTTCTTGACAACGAGTGGTCACTTGGCCAAGTGCTGACAAACATAAGTCGCGTCACCTGCACTTGTCGTGTTTCCAGTGGCAGCAGCATGCAGTGAACACAGCTACAGCATCATTTTTGACTGAGGAGCACGCGAGCGAGACTATTTTTATTCAAATAAACTACTCCTACCTGTCGTCGCGAGTTTGTAGTTTTCGCTTTACAGAGAAGGAGAAGCCGTAGGTGATTTTTGCTTGGTCACTGCTGTGCCTGTACTGTCGTTTGGCTTTACATGTACTCGCCTGCCAAGAAGCAATGATGGTTGTCTCTGTTATTTCTAGCGCAGCGTACGCTGATTTCCTGAGACCAAGCAACTCTAGGCTCGTGTCCTTGTCCAGCGGCAAGCGAAAACTCCTATCTCTCGGGTGCTGGTGAACACTCAGGAGGACAACACTGCACAATGACTTGAGAGCGAAGGAGAAACCTCTTAAAAGTAAAACAAAATTTGAAGTCGCAATATTGCACCGGCGCGCGCCCCAGTCAAAGTGATGCCGTGACCGTTGGAAACACTACAAGCGCAGGTGTGGCGACTTTTGTTTGTCTCCACTTGGCCTTGCAACTACGTGTAAGTAGGAGTTTTCAGTCAGCGTGACCATGGTGACGTAGGCACTTCGACAGCCTATTGCTAGCGACTTTCCTCCAATACCTTTTTGTATCCAGCGCTGCGAAGCAGAACAATAATGACTCCACAGGGTCAGACAAGCTGGCAGGGCTACACCACCACTATGGCCTTGCGCTACCTTCACTAATCACTACACACCTGCATCATGATCAGAAGATGTGGGCTTTCTTAAGATGTGGGCTTTCTTGTGCTTTCTTGTGTTTGCTGTAACAAAACCAGCACCTATGTCTATCCTACCTATCGCATCATCACAATAATTTATGATCATTGCACTTGTCATTGCTATTGTCATTGCACTTGTCATTGCAATTGTTAGTGCAATTGTCACTGCACTTGTCATTGCAATTGTTAGCGCAATTGCCAGAGGAGTTGTCAGCGCAATAGTCATTGCAATAACATAGCTAGTGATGTTCGGCTTAAAAGAAGTTCAACATAATCAAAATGAAGCAACAATGTTACCGGCAAAGCACACACACACACACACACACACACACACACACACACACACACACACACACACACACACACACACACACACACACACACACACACACACACACACACACACACACACACACACATTTATAGAAGAGAGACGCGATAACGTACGAGGAGAGAGGGCAGATGATCAACAGTCCGAAGAAGATTGCTGATAGAGCATACGACAGCGCTAGCGCCTTTCTTCTTCCCAGAATTCCCGCAGAGTAGTAGGTCAAAAATAGAGCTGGTGTCGAAACAAAGAGAGAGAGAGAGAGAGAGAGAGAGAGAGAGAGAGAGAGAGAGAGGAGAGAGAGAAAGAGAGGGAGAGAGAGGGAGAGAGAGAGAGGGGAGAGAGAAGGAGAGGGGAGAGAGAGAGGGAGAAAGAGAGAGAGAGAGAGGCCATGAAAGAGTGAGAGAGAGAAAGAGGCCCAGACAAAAAATATTTCTAACCTTATAACTTTATTCTACTTTAGCTACTACAGTAGTACTAAAAATAATTCACGGTTCGCGTGAGACTCGGCCAAAGGCCCAGTTTTCCGCATCCGCAGGAACGCCACCACCCTCTTGGATCAAGGCAGATGCAGCTCCTAAGCGGTACTAACCCAAACAAAATTTGCAGTTTGCTGTTGTTCGTTGTCTACAAGCACATAATATGGCCAACAGGCACAATATGGCCAAGCTAATTCACCACCATACTTCTACAATCAACCCTATTTCCAGGGGCTGGCAGACTTCGCATGCAGGAAGAATGTATTGGTCCAGAAATGGCCAAGATGTTCATGATCTGGTGACGATAAACAGCCCATCAGATTACATTCATATCTCTCTTGTTCGGACGTCGAACCTACGGGCACATCGATCTAACAGGCACCCTGTGGGCGAATTTAGTGGAAATATTACTACTCTTCGGCAAAGTGTGTGGAAATAGTGGTATAATTATGCTAAAACACTGCTCCTTCCGCATTGAAGCATATGCGACTTAGAGTTTCGGACACTTCAGACACGGGCAGTGAGCGGTTCCGGACCGCCTGAATAAGAGCGATACGACTGTACAACATGCATTCATTCATTCAGATTATATTTGAAGGAATCTCCTAAAATAAATGGATACATATCGGGGGAGTTTCCTGGAAGGGTGGATGAGATGAAAGTGAAGTGAAAAGTGGTAAAGGGAAAAGACTGCGCAGAAACCCTGCTCGAGAAAAACTACAGGTAACAGCCAGCGGAGAGAAGCAGAATACAGTCCGGATCGCTTATCCGGTCCTCTTTTATTCGGATCACTCGCCATCCGGAAGAAAATCGCTGGTAACCGATTTACGGCAGATGCATGCATACATACGATGCGTGTGTTCGACTATTAGGCTATGATCGTTTGGTCGGACCCAGATCCAGATCCAAATCTCAGATCCGTCGGATCCTTCAGAATCAACCGAACACTTTTTTGCGGACCTTGGCTGTTGCCATGTTGACGAAGTAAAAATGGCGCTGACAGGTCACCCAAAAAAGGCACAAGTCGTACTGATCGCCCGCATCGTACGAAAAGTCAACAAAAGTCCACTAGACGTACGACAATGAGTATAAAAATGATTTTTACCCACCATATACGCACAAAGGTCACATTTGGATCCGATGGATCCAGTCAACCCTGCTCCCGGGGCAGGGTTGCTCGGATCCAAATCCGAAGGATCTGGATCCGGATTCGACCAATCGATCATTGCAGATCCAGTGGATCTGGATGCTGGATCCGACCAAACGATCACGGCCTTAGGTTCCCTCGCCTATCCGGATATATTCGCAAAAACGGATGTGTGCAGTTATGCGAGGGTCTGACTGTACATGACAACATAGTGTAGCCAGACAACCCGAATACACAGCAGATCAACTTCAAACACTGCATCGGATATACCAGTGGGTGT